AAAAAAAAAAAATCAAGCAATATTAAGGATGTATTTTGGGGATACCTTTTATAATTAAGTACAAAATGAATGATATAGAGAGACTATAGTGCTGTATGTTCAGAGGTGAGAGAAATTACTGAGTACTTAGATAAGGCTTCTCAAAGGTGGTGAAACTTCAGTCCTTCACAGATGTAAAAAATTCAATTATAGGTGGAAGTAAGACGACTTAGAGGGCAGTGAAAAATATCTATTTGGCTGAAATAGTGGTGTGATAAAGGGTTAGGGAGGTAGATGAGAATGGATTATGACAAGCCTTCAATATTAAACTATTTTCATTTTGGTTTATATATGTGTGTATGTATGTGCACATACATACAAATATACATATATGCAAACACATGAATGTACATATGTATTTTCCTGGGTATAAAAGAAATATATGTTCATTTTATATAAATTAGGAAATAACGGAGTATATTAAGATGAAAACAAAACTACTTCACAACTCAAAAACTTAACATCTGAGATTATTTCTGTACAGGTTTTGTTCCTTGTAGTAGTAAAAATATGTTACCAAAAATTTATAATTCTTTTCCTCAACTACATCCACACTTGCACTGTGTTATAATATATATATAACAATTTAATAATAACAGTGTGACTTAATACAACAATATAATATAATCACAATGAAGTTTCTAGGTTGCATTACCAGGGATGCACATCTGAGGGACTTCCTTGCTGTAAAATGAAGTCTTGGGATTTCTGAAAGCAGTTCTAGACACAGCCACGACAGACTGATGGCTACTAGGTGAGTGTCTGGTTACTGCGACTATGTCTTCATCAACCTGATCCACATACACCTGAGAAATAGAAAGAGGAAGCCCATTCGCGTTCAAACTGGAAAGGCTTACTTGAAATTGAAACTTAAAAAATTTAGTTTCTTGCCTGAATAAAACCCTTGGCCCCAAGCTCTTGATGAAGTTTATTGATAGCACGCCTGGCTCCAATAATTCCACTTTGGAAATTAACATCACCTGTATCTGATGGAGATGCTGCAGGATTCCACTTAGTGTAAAACCGTTCTTCAGAAACCACTGAAATCTGAGCAAAGTTAAAACTTAGCAATGTATACATTTTTGTGACAATGAAAACTTCTGGTAGTAATGCTCAAAGTTGTTGGTCATGTGGATTTTAAAAAACAACACATAAACAAACCTGATGAGGCACTAATTCATCGTAGCCTTTAGTACTTCCACTAGCACAACACGCCATAGAAACAATCGTGGAACTTGGGAGAGCATCATATACTGATCTATGCTAGAAAACAATAAAAAAAACCACTAAAGTTTATTTTCTTTCCAATGCAAAGTGCCATCCTATAGCATAATGAAATAGAAAGATAATTACATAAATACATTTCATAAGATACATTAATTTGCTTTAAAACAAATAACAAAACATTCTAAAATCTAGGTACCACAATCACTTATAAATCTAGGACACTTTTTTTTTAAAGATTTTTTTGGGGAATTGGGGAAGGAGGACAGTGTTGGGGAATTGGGGAAGGGGAACAGCCAAGTTGTTGTCCTTCAGTCTTAGTTGTGGAGGGTGCAGCTAGCTCAGCTCCAAGTCCAGTCGCCATCCGGCCACCTGTGGGCAGCTCACAGCTGCTCAGCTCAAGATGCTACGTTCAATGTTAGTTGAGGGTGGGTGTAGCCCACTATCCCATGCGGGAGTAGAACCGGCAACCGTGTTGTTAGGAGCACGTGCTATCACCAGCTGAGCCATTCTGCCACCTGTTGGCAGCTCAGCAGCAGCTCAGCTCAGGAGCAGCTCACTGGCCCATGTGGGAATTGAACCGGTGACCCTGTTGCTCAGAGCTCAAACTCTTGAGCGAGCTC